CGAGTCACTTCTGAGGGAGGCCTAGGTTAGATCCCTTCATCACAGGTGCTTACAGTAGCCTGAACTTCTCCTTTGGTAAAGCCTACCACTCTTGTACAGTTCAGTATATGTCCTCCTTGCTAGACTTTAAGTTCTGAGAGGGCAGAGGCCATGTCTGACCTGTTCACTGCCTGGACACTGGAGAAACTGAGTTGTGAACTTGAAGGGGAAATGGGGTATGAATGGCAGTGGAGATTTAGAACCAGCTCGATTCCTTTCCCTTTCTATTCCAAACTCTTTCTTCATAATGCATCATGATTCCTGCTACTGTATTTCTTGACCCAAACTCAAAAACTGTCCTCAGACAGGTCAGATGTTGCTTAGAGAAATCTAGCCATGCTCTATCTTAACAAGATGTCTTTTTAACAAGAGTCTGATCAGTCCTTCATAAACTTCACCTTCTGAAATGTGAACCTTACCCCTCTGGTGAGTTATCCAAGGTCACACTGAATCAAACAGCAAAGTCACAAATAAAGCTCAGATTCAGCAGCTCCCAAGATGGTCTCTGATCTTCCTCTTAAAGTACTAAAGAAGAGGAAATGGGCTCGAACAGATTCCTTACAAACATTAATCGAATGTGGACTTATAATACCTGCGGCTATCCCATGTTATCTAGGGGACATTAAAGCAAAATGAGCCCTTCAGGAAAAGATAATTTTAAAAAAGGAATAGGAAAACACAAGAAATACAATCTGGGAGGCAGAAAAAAAATGGCAAAGATGATAGAGGCTCTGTTCATCCCTCTAGTGACCAAATCGAAGTTGTGACAGAAACAAGGAGCAAACAGCAAGGAAAATCACCTGGGATTTAGCTGAACAAGTCATACAACTAGGGAGAAATCTAAGAAATCACCCTGCAATGGCAGAATGTAGGACGGGGTGAGGACGCAAGGCTGCCCAGTCAGGAGTGGCTGAGTGGGACAGAGGCTGTGGCAGCGGCAGACACCTCTTAAAGGGGCTATGTCTGCAAGTGGACTTCCGTGGTGACGGACCTGCTCGCTGTGAGCACCAGCACTGCATCGGTTACATGGGAGGCACCAGGGACTTACAGAGGTACCCTGAGTTCTCCGAGTGAGGGCCAGAGGCTGGGGTCTCTCCCAGGCAGACATGCTGGTGATATCCATTGTTCTTCTGTTGAGCCCTCCCCCATCCCAGTGTGTGGACTCAGCTCCACCATAGCCAAGAGGTCATCAAACTGGATAACAGAGGTCGCTCCACCCAGAAGACTCCCTGACACTCTACCTCTCCCAACTTGTGGCCCCACCCAAGCCACATCCAGGTGTTTCCTCACTTAGTCAGGTGCCCCTTTGTTGAGCAGTGCCTAGACTCAAACTGGAGACAGCTGGTGTCGGTTTCTGGTGTGGCCTTTTGAGGCAACTATAAGCACAACATCTGTGGATGGCTTGCTGAATCTCGACAAGTGGACCTGAAGGGCCACAGGCTGGGGCTAAATTTGGCCTGCAGCTGAATTCCTCTCAGGACTGTGCCACTGGACACCTATCACACGAATTCACACTAATAAGACCGGGAGACTTAGGAGCTTTGCTTAGTACATAGAAACAGACATGGAAAGACAGCCAAAATGAGAAGACAAAGAAGCAGAAACAATATGAGAGAACAGAAGAGAGATCCAGAAATAATGGAGTCAAACAGTCTAACAAATGCGGAGTTCAAAACACTGGTTATAAAGATGCTCTTTATATCTTTAATGAACTTATGGGAAGTGTAGATGAATTCAGTGAGAACTTCAACAAAAAGATAAAAAAACATAAAAATGGAAATAGAAATTATAAAATGGAACTAGAAATGAAGAGCACATCTGAAATGAGAAGTATATTAAATGGAATAAACAAAGTGACTAAAGAGAATCAAATGACCTATATAGAGGATGGAAAGCCAAGGACACTCAATCAGAATGGCAAGAAAAAAGAAGCCAAGACTGTAATAACAATTTAAGGAGCCTATAGGACACTATTAAAGGTAAAAATATTCATGTCACAGGGGTACTGGAAGGAAAAAAAGATGTTGAAGAGCTATTTGAAGAAATAATGACGGAAAACTTCCCTAACTTGGTGAAGGAAATAGACACAAAATCCCAGAAAGCTCAGAGAGTCCCCAAAACCAGAAACCCAAAGAGGCCCACACCAAGACACATTATAATTAAAATGCCAAAGGTTAAAGACAAAGAGAAACTCTTAAAAGCAGCAAGAGAAAAGCAGTTAGTTACCTACAAGGGAGCACCCATAAGACTGGCAGCTGATTTCTCAAAAGAAACTATGCAGGACAGAAGGGCTTGACACAAAATGTTCAAAGTGATGAAAATCCAGGATCTACATCCAAGAATACTTTATCCAGCAAAGCTATCATTTAAAGTTGAAGGACAGATAAAGAGCTTCCTAGACAAAAAATAAGCTAAAGGAATTTATCATCACCAAGCCAGTATTACAGGAAATGTTGGAGGGACTTCTTTAAGAAGAAACAACATGTATCAAAAACAGGAATAAAGAATGGCAACAACTACATTCCTATCAATAAGTACCTCAAACAGAAAAGAATTAAGTGCTACAACCAAAAGACAGAGTGGCTGAATGGATAAGAAAACAAGACCCCTACATGTGCTGCCTACAAAAGACTCACTTCAGATTAAAAGACACACACAGACTAAAAGGAAGGGGATGGAAAAAGATATTGCCTTGATGGACCTAGAGGGTATTGTGTTGAATGAAATGGGTCAGATAGAGAAAGACAAATATTGCTTGATTTCACGTACATGTAGAATCTAAAGAACAAAATCAACAGCAGCAGCAACAAAAGTGGAAATAAACTCATAGATATAGAGAATATTTTCAGGGATACTAGATTGGAGGGAGGTTGGGGGGACAAAAAAAGACAAAGGGATTAAGAGTTACAAATGGATAGCTGCAGAATAGATATGGAGATGTAGAGAGTAGCATGGGGAAGATGGTTAATAATATAATAAATATGTAAGGGGGAAGAGGGGTACTAGATTTAGTGGGGTGATCACTTTGCGAGTTATGTGGATCTCTGATCACTATGCTATACAACTGAAACTAGTATAGTATTATATGCCAACTATAATTGAAAAATAAACTCATTGTACAATGTAAATACAAGCAACTAACTGTCTATTATATTTCAATAAAAACAGAATACAAAAGGAAATATAATCTGGATTTATAATTAATATTGCAAAAATGATTTGAATTAAATTCTAGATTTTGACTCTCCTAAACTGGCTTACCATTGTGAAGTTAGCATTAGCCAGAGTCAGAATCAGCTTACTGTATAACCTCTTGGATAGGGTACAGCAAGGCTTTTTAGCTGTAGAAAACGCAAATGTCTTTGGCATAACCCTATGTTCCAATCTCATGAGGAACCACTTAAAAATAAATAAGACCAATGCTAAATTCTTAGACACATAGCCATGCAGTGAGGAAGCTCAAATAAAAGCCTAGTTCTTAGCCTGCAGAGCTGAAGAATGAAAGCCAAGCAATTAGAGTTGAGAAAATGGATTACATAATCTTACAGTGGGAGACTTAGAAGAAGGTTATTGTGAGGGTGCTCGGAATAACCAAGACATCTTTTAACCTGGGATAGATCAATTACAAGAAGGGGGCAGGGGGATTGGGGGGAAGAAGAGATCACATAAACTCCCAAAGTGCCTTCTAGCCTGGAGTCTCTGAAAACATGAGAATGACCTCTGTAAAAAAGTGAAGGTTAATGAATAAACTTTGAACATCTTTTCTAAATATTTAGGGCTCATCTCTCCTTTATTTATTACTCACACTAACTAGGCAGCCTCCAAATAATTGTATACTTCATACTTCTTTGAAATGTTCATTTTTTTTCCATCAGAGTTGCCATCATAAAATTATAGGAAGTGAGGCAGAACAGCTTGTCTCACCAAACCTCTCCCTGCATATTAGTACAAATGGGTAAAAATAAGTAAAATCACTTTGCTAAAGTTTCTAATGAAAAAGAATTTTATTAAGATTTGTTTTTCTTTTCCCTGCTATTTTTTCATTCCCGTTTATTTTTCTCTTGCACAAAGACAGAATGTATAATTTCATCTAGAAATAAACTATCCTTGCTTTAAGGAAAATAAAATGTTTATTGAAAAACAAACTTCCTTCCCTATGAGAAGAAGACAATCTAGAGCTAAAGGGCAGCCAGGACCACTGTATGATTGCTTCTAGTGTTACTCTTATGGCCTTGGAGGTGACCTCAAATACTAAACAGCCTAGGAACAAAATCTGTAAAAATGTCACATTTCTACATCATCGGTCAAAGCTCAGTTGAATTTTCATCACAACTTTCCAACATTTAGATAGACTGGGGCATGATGCGAGTGGATGGAAAACTTGATTTGCTTCCACAGGTAAGCCTTAATCATCTGTCTCTCATTCCTCTCAGCTCTAAAATTAAGATGTCTTTTGATACCTTCCTTTTTTTGCCAATAGAATCTTAAAGATTAAATGAAATGTCTAACTTGCTTCAAAAGGAATTACTGTAGTCATACTAGGAGGGGCTGACTAGAGGCTGGCTGGACTGCAGGGAGCATGTTCACCCTCCAGAACTGCTCTTCCCAGCCAGCGGAGCACACTGAGAGTAAAGGATGCTGTCCACAGGCACTAGGCCTTGATCTGGTTTAGAATTTTCCACAGCACAGAGTAAATAATTTTCCTCACTGGTTCTCTGATTAGCAGCTGTTCAGGATAATTCAAACTGAGAACGAGAGACTTTCCTTCCCCATCTGCAAGAGGGTTACATAAGAGCTACAAGCAAAAACAAAAACAAAAAAACCCCCAAAAAACAAAAACACAAAACTCCTTAAGAGTCCATTAAGCTTGAGCTGAAAACTTAGGTTTAAATAATGCAAGGTGGAGATAAGACACAGAAATCAAAGAAATAAATATATGGTATACACAGACAACCAAGACCTGCTATGGAAAGCTTTAATCACCACATGTAAAAATAGTATTTTCAAATATCAAAAATGAGTCCAAATTCTTTATCGTCATCACCATAACAGTCTAGAAATGAAAGCTGCACTAATACAAAACCTTCTTGTTCATAACTACAAGATTAATGAAACTGTTTCTTATAAACACATTTTTTTTACCCTAAGGCTGATATCACCAAAGTGAAAAAGTCACTATCAGCTGGAATTTATTCAATGTAGCATGTCTAAAATCATTTATTCTTTAATCTGGAATGTCTTCTCTTGACTCTCCCACCCATACTATGTGATGACAAGAGGAAAAGATGACAGATGGTTGTATCCAGTCCAGTATATATAATATACTGATTTTATGATTCTCGATCTACTGATCAAAACAAAGAAATTAAATTTTAACATCAATTAACTCAACACTATCACATTATAAAATTTATCAAAATTGACTCTTTCTTATAAGAGAGAAGTTGGCAGTAAATTCTCAGATAAGAATAACTGTTCTTTCTTACACTGTCTATTGCAGTGCATTCTACTTAACTACATAGGCCAACCAGTTAAGTTCAGAGTCCACACAGATTGCCTTGTAAATCTTACTCACATTGAGATAAGATCGGCACATGTCTAATAGAAAAATAAACCCCAAATGCTACAATAGTTATTCCATTCAAGTGATGGGAGAGGAGACTGTGTTAAATTGGAAAAAAAGACAGCCATGTGGAAGTAGGGATTATTTTAATATTTTTGGTATGTAGATAACAAATAAATAGTACAAGATGATTTTCAAAATCTGAATTCTTAACGTCTCTAACAATGTATTTGGTGAATGAGGCTACAGCAATGGTGTGCTACCTCTCACAAGGCAGCCTAGGGACGTTTCCTCCAGTTATTTCCATGATGACCTTGGCGTGTTTCTAAAATGTGTTCTTTCTAAATATTCACAGCACTTCATCAAAACCGGCTGTTATAGTCTGCATATCTGAGTCAGGAAATTGTCGCTTGGTTTCAAAGTATTATACATGCAACTTCCTGTGTACTACTTACTTTCAACTGCATGGTTACCAGTATTCTGAGCTATAATAAACACGTGGGGATATACGGCAGTTGAAGAATTACCATACATAATTTTGTTCCATACTCTTTATTTTTATTATTTCTAGATGCCTTGCCAATTCAAATGACTGAAGTAAAGAATACAGACATGGACATTTACTGGATTTTTCTTGAGAACTTAAATTATATTCACTATTCTCAGCCAATACTGGGTGAGGATAATGGAGAGAGAATTCAGTATTAGACTGAACAGAAAAAGGTTTTCTTGGAAAGGCTTGATACAAGTGTTCTTTTTTTTTTTTTTCCACATAGACTCATGGATAATCAAGGTTGGAAAAACTCTTAATCATATGGCCAATTCCCCCATGTGATACCTGGACGCCTATGTAATATCTCTGCCAAGTTGTTGTCCAGCATCTGCTAGAACACCTTTCAGGGCAGGAAGTGGTTGCAACATTACTTATTTCTCCTTAGAATACAATAGCAAAACAGATGGAACAGGTAAACAAACTTCCATTAAATGTAATTATGAATTGTATCCAACTTTTCAAGAGAGTTAGCAGATTGTCGATTGCTACTCAAAGGAATAAACCAGATTTGCTCCATGCCTCCCATGCTTTCTGCAATGATTCAAAATGGGGAGATACAACTTAGAAATGTGAATTTTATAAATCATTGTTAAATAACTGTGTGTGGTGGTGGGGAAGCAGATAAAAAAACATCTTAGAAGTAGTCATTATAGGGACCCCAAAACAATGGGAAAATAAAGTGTTTTGAATAATAAATAAAGATGCAATAAACACCTTGTGCAGCAAGTCCTGGTATAAGAATTCAAGAGCCCTGGTGGACGAACCGGTACGCTAATTCCAGTCTGCAGCATTTCTCAATTCGGATGTCGGCGACAAGAGAGCACGAGCAAGTCTGAGACTGTGGCTTGCTATCCTAAGGCCACTGAAAGTGGGGCACTCTACCTTGATTGTCTCTTTCTTGCTTGTTTGGCAGCACTGCAAATAATTTTCTTATTTCTTACTTCTCTTAAGGTACTCACACAGCTTCAAGGTTTCAGATCCCCTCTTCAGAATACCAACAAGGCAACATATTGATTGGTGAACAATATCAGAATTCAGTTTACAAAGGATCCACTTCTCTGAAGGGATACATTTGTGTCTACATTTTTATTTTTTGAACATGTATATGAATAAGTCCATTTGAGTTGAAAACATTTATCCTGATAACACCCATATAAACTTTAAAAATTCTAAATGTTCATGTTCACTGAGACTCAGCTGATTCAATTTGAGCGGTTATCTTTTCCCCCTAGGTGTTAAATGGCAATGGTATCGATCTTTAACAAACAAGACTGTGAATAACGAACAAAAACAAAACAGCAAAAAACCAACCTTAAAGTCAGTATGTCTTTTTATATGGAGGCCACTTTTTTTCATATCTGTTTCAAAGGTACCAGATAATTAACATTTAGTGGCTAGATGACAGGAGAGCAAATCTTCCTGCAAAAAAATTAATAGAACTTCTGTGACCACTGAGATTTAGAAGTAAAATCAATGAAAGTCTATTAAGTACTCCGGATAGATCTGGTTGGCATCAAACACAACAAAGATCTTTGGATTCCAGGTGTCATCCACACAGCTGTCATATAAATTCACATAGCTACCGTCTTTAGAAGGAGGTCGCATGTATTTGGAGTCTCCGTTTATGTAATCTCCAATTAACACTCGAGCAAGAAACATAGATTTATATGTTCTAAATAGATGCCGCTGTTGCAAGCTTACACCATGAATTTGGAATGTGTTTCCATGTTTTATGTCATCTTTGCAGAAGCGACTGGAGTAAGCAGCATCTCTAGCAAAATAGGTTCCTTAAACAAAGAGGACCAAAAAAAAAAAAAAGCCAAAATTACTCCGAAGAATACATGAAACACCAACAAAAACATTCTAACTGTTAGGGGAAGAGACACATGGAATTGTATAACAAAAATAGATGTGGAATTTCTTCATCTGTAGATCTTAAAGGAAAGAACAGAAATCCATCTGTTATAGACAGCTGCGATTCAGACTGTCATAGGGATAGATTTGCTAGTATAGACCAGTCCCCACCACCAAACCATTCCACCCTCACCAAAATGGAGCTGCCAGACTTCTGTTTTTAAAAGGAATCTTACAAAGAAATCCAATATGTAAGACAGATACAAACTATTTTTGTGATTAAAAGTGTGGCAGGACCTCTCTCCATTTCTATTTCCTTCTACCACTTTCCTCACCCAGCTACCGTGTCCAGCATTCATTAAAGCTCCGGAGAGCACAATGAAAACTACTGGCCTTCAGAGATTATAACAAACCCCAAGAAACCACATTTCTATGATAGCGGGTAACAGTTCAATAATATTTCTGGAAATAATAGAACTCTATGTCCAGGAAAAGATTTCTGAAGAGAGTGCAATACTGTTCACAATTATCCCCAAAAAACAATTTCATTGGTTCATTGCCTAAATATGAAAACTCAATAAAGCATCCGAAAAGGTAGGCCCAGGAGACTGACATCATTATAGGGACACTTATTTTAAAAAATTTTGGAAAAGAAGGGCAAAGTCTCATATTACTCAATACTGAATGGATTTATGTAACACTTTTTGATCCTCTTACAGTTAAATAAATGGAATGGCCTTGTCGGTAGTTATTTTAAAAACTAATTTACTTTTAAAAAATGTAGCACATCCTGATCCTAAGTGGCAGTCAGTTCTGGTGACGGAGGTAAGGTACGAGGTAAGTACCAGAAAAATAAATGTCCATCCCTTACCTTTTCCCCTCATCTCTCTCCTTAATTTGCTTGAGTAGTGGGCATAAATTGGAGAACTTGGACTTTCACAACATTAGAAAAAAGGTGAGGATTTCCCCCATTATTCCTTATTGCTCATTAATATTCTTACCTATCATTTTCTAAAAAACAAAACAAAACAAACAAAAAATACTAGTACCTAGACCTGTGCACAATATAATTAATTTATTTTATAGTTCTCTAAATATGTGACATAAAACAATGTGGTTTTACCTATGGAAAAAACTTATACAGAAAATTAAATGTAATGCAAAAATCAGCTAATAAGGACATAATGCTCCAGCTGAATGACTGGAAGTTGGGGAGCTATCTAATCCAGAAGAGGTGTAAAGATCCTACTTCTACCTTGTACATGCAAGAAGTGGCTTTTCTGTGGCTCAGAAACTCTGAGGGTGTGCCAGGAACCTAGTATAGTAACTTTTGACTTAATGACGATCAAACCCCTGAACTATAAAACAATCCATTATCTCTAAAGAGATATTTGTTCCTGGGACTCGAACTGGACCTGGAATTCTGATAATTACCTTTTCCAAAGAGAGCACCATGTATACCATTAATTCTCCAATCAAAGTTATGAATACAAATTGCTTCCACAAATTCACTGCTGGTACCATGAAATAGCATTTGTTCATTAATCTGAGGCACACCTCTTTTCTTCTTAAGCTGGGCCTTTTTCCTAACAACATAATAAACACAGACACAAAACACAGAAATATACCATAAGTGGCATTTGTTAATTTTCCACAGAGCAAAATTCAATAGAAAATGTGAAACAGAAAACACTTCAACATAAATCATAAACGGATAAAGCAGCTCTGAAGAAGAATCTCAAATGCTCTTGGATGCATAAATCATTTCATCAAAAATCACTAGTTAACATTGAGATTTAAGATTGAAAATTGTACCAAAAATTATAGATATCCAGATGATGCCCCATTATAATAGAGGTGATTGCCTAAACCAGCCAAGTTTTACAGATGTCTAAAAATGACACTATAAACAATTAAATAATACGAAGATCACAGTGTCTTGAAATAAGCGGGGACCATGCCTTAATCTTTTTATCCCCAGAGATTAGAAAATGTTGGCTGAATTGAACTTAATTTTGAATTTTAGGGCTGGAAGGGACTTTAAGCCATCCAGTTCAACCCCTTCCCAAAGGACAAATCTCTTTAAACAATGTAGGACCAATTATAACAGTGGAAAACAAACAAACTTAAAACAGTCTAAAATTCTTCCATAGAAAAAGAAATAAATAACTATATATTTATACATGAAAGTTAACGGTAACGAATTAGACATGTATTAACATAGATAACACTTTAAAAATGATGAATGTAAAAATGTTGCAAAAAAAGACAAATAACTCAAAACAATACTGTACATTGTATAGGTATATATACATAGGGAGTAAAAAACATAAAAACATGGAGAAGGCATCACGCCAGACTTAGGAGGAAAGGAGGAGAACAGGATAGGGATGGGGATGGGATAAACACTTCACTTATATCTGTAATGTTTTGTATCTTAAAAAAAACAACAACAACATATAAAATGTGACAAATATAACGCTATATGTGATTGGTAGGTACATGGATGTCTGTAAACTATTTGCTGAATTTTCATTTTTAAATATTTCATTAAAAAGATGTTTTAAAAAATAAAAAGAATATTCCTTGTTATATTTCTAATAGCTATTTAATGCCTGCTTCAATTCATTCCAGTGTCAAGTGCTCACTGTTTTGCAAGACAGTGCAATCTATTTGTGATTAGCTATAATTGGTAGAAAGTACACCCACCCTAACAATGAACCAAAATTTGCCTCCCTATTACTTCTACTGTGGTCTGAGTTCTTCTCTTGTGAACACAGAAAAGTTTAAATACTCTTATACAAAACTACTCTGCAAATATTCCCAAATAACTATGAACACTGACCTAGGCTTTCTTTTCTAGGTTAAATATACACCATTCCCTCAGGTATTCCTCACATAACATAGCCTTTCTTTCCTCATCCTGGACAATCTTTAGTTGATAAGAATCTGCTTGATAACTTCTAGTTTATAAACGTTGGTAAGAAAGAGTCCAAATATCATCAGTCAAGCACTCTATTGGCACACCACTGAATTCATTCTGTGGCAGGGGCATCATACTGCTGACTTACATAAGTTTGTAGTCAATAAAAACTCCCAGGGCTTTCTCAAACCAGACTTCTCTTGGCTTGTTATATTTACACAACTGTCTTACAAACCTAACGCAGTAGATTTATTTCAATTAAGTTTTATCTTGATACGGTCATTTAAAAATCACAGTATTTATAAAAAACATACAGCTTAATGATTATGTGGATTACTGGATACTTGCATTTAAATGACGGAAACAAATGTATATGGTCTTTCTCAAGAATCATTTGGCAATATGTATCAAAATTTAAATGTCTATGCTTTGATTTATTGGTATAGTCTTTTCAAACCATTGAGTATGACATTAGAAGGATGTGCATTAAACAAACATTTACTTCAGAAAAGCCAGAACGTTTTCACAAGGAACAAATTATGACAACTTTCTTTTTGAGAACTTTATATACTGACTTTTTTTAACAATGCATATTTGTTGCTTTTCTAAGAAAAAAAAATTTTTTTAAAAAAAGATAATCATATTTGTTTTGACTCACTGTTTCAAATCTTCCAAGGTCTTTCTCCCTCCTGATTCATTCACACAACAAATAAGATACCCCTTCTGGTTTTGAATCTTTCACAAGTGTGATAAGCAAGCCTTCTATATTTTTATCCAAATTCCTGATTACAATGCTGAAAGTCTCAGGAAGAAAGCATTCATGTCATTCAAGTTATTCTTTATATAAGACTTTTAACTGGGTATTAATTTTTCTCTTTATACTTAACCACCTGGCACACATTTCTCTATTTTGTCATAAGACCCTTTTTCAACTACTTCATAGAACTCAAATTATACTATCTAAGAGGCTTACCCATCTACTACTATGGTAATCCTCTTAGTTATTTGGGCATTAATAAATCTATACAAGTTTTCCTTAAGTAAACATTGTTTATATACATCCCTCTAATGTCAAGCTTCATGTCTGTAATGACTAGAATCCACTCTAAAATTAGAATATTCACTCATCACTAGTTTTCAGGCACAGATCAGAATGAATTCTGGTTTGAAAATCCACTCAAGTCTCTCTTAAATGTTATAAATGAAGCGCTGGTTAAAGAGCCAGGAGTGTGGTGTGGGCATTAAAAACCCATAGGGTTACCGGGCTGGATGTAACACATACACCAGCTGACGTCAGGGTGGAATGCGATGGTCCAAACTCTGCAGCCCACAGCACTAAGGTACCCAGGAAGTGTGGAGACTCTCACACTGCGCTCTTGGTGTTCCAGATGGGCTAATATTAGTTCTAAGGCCTCCTGGATTTCAGTTAAACCTTTGGGAAAAGTCATAGGAATCAAAATACAGTAAGTTCTCTTCACAACCCTGTCCACTTTTGCCCAATCCCACATTTATTGCTGAACTTACTGCAAATGCTATAGCACTCACTTCTCAAAGATGTCTTAAAATTACCCACCCTCTCAGGGACTATGTAGCAAAAAGGGCTACATTGGACATGCA